TGGAGATTGATCATCATCTCACTCAGAAGCATAAAGATATGCACTTGAGAAAGAGTGGGTGAATGAGAGCATGTGATTTAATCAGAGGGATCTAATGGGAAGTAGCCTAAGTTCAACTCAAGTGGATTCAGTAGTGGCAAGACTCGCAACACCGTAGCCTCATGTGCCAAATGTGGTAGACAATATAAATGTGAATGTTTGATGGGCTCTAGCACATACTATTGATATTATTAGCTTGGTAATATTGTGATATATTATCCATCACTTGGCCAAAAGACCAATGAAGATAAAAAATCAAGTGGAGCTCATTCATCGAAGACTGCATACGGGCAAAGAAAGATACAGTCAATAACTTCATTCTCTACTCCGGGTCAACCATGAAAGCCAGATCGACCTCGAGTTTATGCTCTTACTCATAGTGGCCCTAGAGAATCTATTGTTGTTGATGTTGACGCTAATATGGGCTGACGAGTCTTTTAGTTTCTTTTGTCATCTTAGTTTATCATTTGTCATACATTTTTTTAGTCTTGTATTTCTGAGTATTGCTTTAGTTATGTTATTTTGCTTTAGATATGATGTTATCCTTGTCACATTTTCATGTTTCAATGGATGGGGAGAGATGTAGTCCTCTTATAACAAATCTTTGTTTTATTGTGTCCACTTCTATTCTTATAGTATATTTGGACTTCTTCATAGAAATTTATATGTAGCTCATTTGTATTCTACTTAATGAGAAATGATTTGTGTTTTGTTTATAAATTTGAGGACAAAATTTGTATAAGTTGGGAAGAATATAACGCTTCGTTGTAATGAGTTGTTGAGTGTTTTTGTCTCCTCGACTAATGAATAAGAGGAAGAGAGGAGAAAAAAATAGAGGGAGATGAAATGAGCAGTCGAATGAGCGAAATCGTTCTATAAGTTGATTATCGAGCGCACCTAAGGGGCGATCGATGCGTACTAAGAGAGATAGAGAGAAGATCGAGAGGCAGAGACAAGATTGAGTGTTTTGAACTTTCTGACCGAGGGATTGGAGAGTATCGGCTTCAACAAAAAATGCACCGAGAGCAGTGACGAGTGGCTACCATTTTCGAGCATAGGAGACATCTTCAAGCAGGCGAGGGTGATGATGTCGGAAAGGTCAAAGCTGAGACATGACCGTTCTCTCGTGTGTGAAGAAATAGGTTGCAATATATTGTGACAATGCAATTTGCAGGACTGTCTGTGTGCCCTAGTCGAAGGAGGGGCATGGACGAGCTTCAAGTGGGGGAAGAAGCTTCGTGTGAGAGAGCTAATTCGAGCTTGGTAAGGTTAGTTCTTTTATTTAAGTTATTTTTTTTAATTATAGTGCAAATATTATTTAATTTTATTTAGAACAATAATTAATCATTTAGTTTACTATATTATCAAAATAAAAAAATAAATTAAAGTTAATCAAAAGTCTTATTAAAAATATTGTATTTTAAAAAGAAAATAAAGATATGAAGTTTAAATAAGATACATAAACTATACGATCTTTTATTAATGAAGGAAAAAATATGTTAAATATTAATTTGGAAAATTTAGAATCACTTAATAATAATGCTTAAATTTATTACAGGTTAACCTTCATATTATATAGAATTTATTTAAATTATAAATTTTATTGATTAATATTTAAATGCTAATAAGAATCAAAATAATTAAATTGTGACATAATGCTTATTATTAAAATAACACAGTAAATAATGATACTATTTGAAGAAACAAATTTAAAGATTTAAAATAAAATAATTAATTGTAATGGTAAAATGAAGATAAATTGCTTGTAATCAATAAGATTTAAATCTTAATAAATTAATAATAATATTTTTTTAGATTTTATCTTAGGTTTCTACTGAAGGAAAACTGATAGACATACATGCAAGGGAATCTTTTGAGCTTGAGGTGAGTATTTTTTTATTTCTAAATTATGGTAGTAATATTGTATTTATTTTAAATTACTCGCATTAGAGTGATGTTAGTCAACATGCTTTGATACCACAAATAAAATATAATTATTATGTTTTCATATTCAAATTGTTTATCTAGAAATGAATGTCAAAGCTTTGCATATTACACTTATTTATTACCTATGCATATTATAAAAGAAAGCTATTGAATGATAATTACAATGCAAATGAACTGATTTTTAGTATTCTTATATGTGCATGCTTGGTTGTAATAGAGTTCACTTCTTTATAATATTTGTGGTGGAACGTTAAGATACTCGTGCGCGTATTTGGAAAGAGATATTGATATTGATATTGATGTACTTTAATTGGTATAATTTTAGGTGGTGTTCCTATGACGGTTGTATTTATAATGATATAGATATGAAAATGATATTGTATGACGTAATAAATGTTTTAAAATATATTAATCAATCATATTCATATATATAAATTTTCAAACACTCTTATATTAGTTTATTAAAAGTTTAACTGACGTGCATATTTTTTTGTGTTATTGTAGTTTAAGAGTATGAGTATTCACTGGTTTCTTAACTCATTTTATTTTAAGCTAATATTTTCAGGTTGAAATTGCAAAGTAAAAATGAGTAATAGAGGAGAGAATGTATATTGAAGATGTGGACAACTAGAACTAAGATAAATATCAATTCTTTTAATTTATATTCATTTATGTGGCCGTTCTTTCATTCATTTTTAGTAAATTAAATTCTAATGATAGAAGATAAAAATAAAAAATCATGATTATCACTGTGCGACCGTTTGTTCCTGCCTTGGTTAATTCCAAGCCCTGGATCAGGTTGTGATGATTTTTTATATTGTTTTATCATTATTTTCTTATTATAAGTACTGATTTTCAGTTTATCAATTTTCCTTGCTTGGCATGCTTTATATTTTCTTATTATTTTTTTATGGTTTTTTCCTTGTAATTTTATGGTTTTTGGTTGCAAGTTGTTCTTTCATGAAATGCTTAATGATTTTCTTATAACCATCTTTGAATTAGAGTTTATGCATTATGTGATGATTGCTTTGTGTTTTCCAAAAGCTAACCCTAAGTGTTTGGGATATGGTTAATGATTGATAGTGATAATGATTATGATTTATGGTTTCTAAAGTTTTTTTTTTAAAATTATTTTTTATTTTTTATTTTTTATTATATCCTCTCATTTTTAGAACATCTTGGTAAAGAAGAAAAAAAGGACTTGTTCTGTTTTGTTATTAGTTATACGCCTATTCTTATAAGTTTTTTCTACATGGTTTATATGGCTCTAGTCAGGGTTCATTTGTAAAACTATTAATATAGATGCTTCTATTGGTTGTATTGTCTGGTTAAACAAGCATTTAAATGGATGTTAAGAAAGCACAGCCAATTTGGCTATAATTACTTTAGGTTTGTGAAGCAAATGAATTATAAAGTATTTTTACTTTATTGCCCCAACTTAATCCAAATGTCTAAGAATTAAATTTGCATGAAAATATTTTTCATCAACTTTCACTCAACCAAACTATCCCTAATCCAAACCTTGGATGCATGTTAATCAAAGTCCATTGCTACTATGAATTCTAGGCTAGCAAAATAATACTTTGTATTTGGTGCACGTGATTGGATAATCTTTAAATTTCATTTTACTATTTTATTTACTTATGGTTTATGAGTGTAGCATTGTAAGCTAAAGTAATTAAAAACTGCTTAATCACAGGCGGAGTACATAAAATGGATGAGAAAGGTATAATTATTTGATATGGTTCATGGAGATGCTTTCAAAAGTTAATAGTGAACATATGGTTTTATGCCTTTTCATTCATAAAGGAGATGCTCACGAAAGATTTTCATATGAAAGAAATGCCATATGTTATTTACATATCATGCGCTGTTGTTTGAAAAGACTTCAAATAGGTGAAAAGTTGGAGTAAGGTTGAAATATTTTCAACATTAGCGGAGCGATGAATGCAGAATTTATGTTGCTAACTTTACAGGATGTGAAATAATAGTTATTTGTTGACATCGTTAATAGAATAAATAAGTCTTAAGTATTGTAGGTTTAAATATGTTTAAGGTCATGAATATAGATGATGGCATTTTTATAGATTTAAAGTCGATTAGTTAAAATAATGAATGTTCTATTGGAGCAATGTTCTGCAAGAGAAAGAGAATATGAAAATAATTTTATATGTAATTGCATCGAAACCGGTAAGGTTATATGACTTTTGAGTGTTGGATAGCAAGGAAGTCATTGATTGTCAAATTAAGCGTAGTATAAATAAAATTGCTTAAGTGTACACGTGCTGAACTAGATGGATAAGGTTAAGAATGATTGTTTTAGAAGGATTTTAGGAGCAGATCTTTTTAAGATATTAGTGATAAATAGGCAGTAGATATCGTGCAGGAAAGTAGATAAAATTAATGTTGAACGATTATGAGAAAAGTTATGCATCAAATTAAAAAACAGCATTGTAAAAGTAATGCAAAAAATCGTACTTGATGGGGTTAACATCTTATGCAGTTCTTTGTAAGAATAAATGATAGAGAACTCATGAAGTGAACCAAATTGTTGGGAAGGCTACTGATGCTAATGATTGATTGAATAATTATTGTATTATGTTTTGTAATCTTTGAGCATACCTACTTCTATAAACACTGTCCGTAGCTGATAACTATTCCTACAATTATGCAATTGTTCCAGTACTTTATGCATGGTACTAGATTCAAATGCAATTATGCGAAATACATTTCTGATTGTATAGCGCTAGAAAAACTATCTAGATTTATCTGTTAAGGTGGAACATTTGTATTTTATGCTGTTGTTAGAAAATAATATTATTGTTGATAATATTATTGTTGATTTAAACATAAACAAAAAAAAAAAAAACTTATTTGGGAGACTCTAGAAGTTATTAACTTTCTTTTAGCTGCATGGTAAAGTTAAAACAAGATTACTATATATTGAATTGAGCTATCACCATAGAAGTTTTATTGTTAAGTCGTGCATCCATTAAATTTGTTCTTTTTCTCAGGATGAATTCAAGGATATTGTTGAGTGGCTTAGAGAAAATGCTGCAAATTCACGAAGTAACCTATCTACAAGTTTGCCTAGTGGGGAGGGCAAGGCTGCTAAAACTCCCTCAACTATCCTTGAATCTCGAGATGAAGTTGTGCCTCATAATTTTTCATTGCCAAAATCAATAAGTGAACCCGCTCCTGTTTCACCTTGCAGCCAGGAAAACTCAATTTTTGTATCCACAGACACTGAATCAAACACCAATTTTGATAGAAACCTTGTATCTGACAAAAATGCCATGCCTCCAACTGTTTCAGTTCCGCAGACGTCAAGCTTGTTTTTCAGTACCCAAAGCAGGTTGAGCTCCAATATGAACAATGATTTATCCAAGGAGACCTCATCAACCAGTTTTCCATTTATGCAGAATTCAAGCATATTTTCTAGTTCACATAGTGGGGGTTTCTTTTCCACAAGTGTAACAAAATCACCTATCTTCCCTGGTAAGGCACGTCTCCTTGTGGTCCAGAAAAACCTGCAGTCTTTGTAATTTTCATTTTCTTTTATATTGTATTAATTTGTAAATGGCATGTATCTATCACAGTGTACATGTTTCTCTATATTATTTGTATAGAGAGCACGGCTGTTATTACTTGATGCAATCTCAGCTAGTTTCAAATTGAATCATCTGAATCTATGCATCTTAGCAATAGTGTATTTTCTTCTTTGATTGTGCCATTTTCCTCATGATCACTTTTTTGTTCTTGAAAAATTAATTGCTACTTATTTTAAGGAAAGCATAAAACTAAATAAAATTAATTGCAAAGTCCTTGCTTCTTCACTTTTCAGGCGGTCAGATTTCTGCTCCGCAGAGAGTAGAGACAGGGGATGCACATGAAGGTAAGATATGGAAGCTGTTTTCTTATTTGGAATTCTGTGACTTCACTGCAGTGACATTGGGGCATTACTAAATATTATATGTTATCTTCCTATCGCTTTAGGAAACTGATATCAAAATGCTAATTCTTCCAGAGGATAATTAAGATGGAATTTACAGCTGTTTTGGTTTCTTTGAAGTTTTTAATTTAAACTCATATTTAGATTTAATAGAAGAGTTCTGCCAAAACAAAACTGACTTTTATTGTTTAATGGTTATGTTCATCTAGAATTGCAGTGTAGGTATTTTCAGGGACATGCTCTTTAATGCAGAGAATTCGATTTTATAGCAGCATGATAGTTTTGCCCGTCAATTTTAGGTTTTGTATGCTCTTTACATACTCCACTTTTGTCTTTTCATGAGAACAATATTTTCGTGTGTGAATTCATGGCTAGTTCTGGGAATGCATTTCCTCATCTTCCTATAGTCTATGGAAATAAAAATTGGAGCAATAATTATTGTGCCATCTTACACCTTATCATCAAATCTTTAAGAGGAGATTAACTGTCTCCATTTCTTACATCATATTGTTGTTCCTTGACTTGAACATACTTCTTAACACCATAACTCATTCGACACGCAATTTTGTGCGCACTAGAGTGGGCCTGTTTTAAGACTGAGTAATGAGTTTTAGGGATGACAACAACACTGATTTTGATCATAATAAGAAGGGATTTAGAGGGATGGACGGTTGAGATTTTTTTTTAGGGATGGCAACGAGAGAGGAGAATAATGGTATTGAAAATGACAATTGTTAGCGATTCAGGCATCAGGAAGCATCCCATCCTTGGATCACAATTCTTTCTTGCACTATTGGGTTTTCTTATTTTATGTTATTGCTTTGCCAACATAAGAGCTATGATGCACGAGCACTTCTGTTAAGGAGCAGTGCATTGTCCAGCACCGACATGCCTCTAACACATCTTGGATACGACATAGAATTGTCTGAATTAAATAATATTTAAAAAAAAAAAATGCGTGTGCGACATGCTCGTTTTAAATTAATGAATTAAAAGTTTCTACAAATATGTTTAAACATATATATTTTAAATGTTAAAATTTTATTATTTTTTTATTTTTTTTATTTTTTTATGTAAAAGTCTTATCTTGATTTTTTTTTTTAATTTTTTTTATGTAAAAAAGTCTTATCTCGATGTAATATTAAATAGTGCTCTTTTTTCTATATCATAAATTAAATAATATTTTTGAATTCCTTAGCTTTTGAAAGTTAATGTTATTACATTTTTTTATTATATATTCTTAGTTGTTTATAAATTCTTGTTTATTAAATTTTTATCTATTTTTTATAATTTATATCAGTAATATATACATACACACCACTTTATTCTTATGTATTTACATATCTAACACCTATACTTCAATTTTTACATATATGCCACCTTATATACGAATGACAACGTGTATTTCACATTGAAAAATTAATATAGTGGTAATTTAGATGTAATATGAATGATTTGAGTGATATAAATGTAAAAAAGCTTGGTTGGGTGTTAGATATATAAATACATAGGTATTGAATGGCATTTCTGTAAATGGCCATTTATATTATAATAGTGTTCAACTAGTATCCACATTTTATATTTTTAAAAATAGAAGTGTCACGTGTCTGTATTCTTACGTTTGCATCCATGCATCATAGCATGATAGAAGAAACTCCTTATTTATGTCCTATTTTAAGTACTAACCTATTAATTCTATTCGAATTATCGTTGAATGCTTCCTCATACTTAACCTGACCATAGGGTTGTATATAAGGGCTAGAGGACTGTATTGAAATTTTGGAATAACAACCATTAACATTTGAGGCATTACAAATAGTGCACTATTTTGCTAATGTTTCTTGGAACTATAATGTACGACACATGCTATCACACACTATTTCAAAAGCAACATAAATCAGAAAATCAAAATCAAGAAAAAGTATTAATAATTTAACAATATAAGAGAGAAAAATTCCTAAAAAAATGTCATATAATCAAACACAAGTTCAACAAAATTGATGGTTAACCAAAGGCTATCGAACTTGAAAGCATGATTTAAAAAGTCATTCTAGGCATGGGCCTAGAAGTACACCTTTTCATATGGCGCTAAAGATTTACCTCAAGGCTTATGCCTTTATTGTAAGAGTGAGGCTTATATTTTTTTATTTGAGATGTACATCTAAGGCTTTACGCCTTGAGACATTTGAGGCTACTTCTCAATGTAATGTTTATTAACAAAAATGATAATATAATAAGTATAATCTAATTTATATCGTATTAGAAGTAAATAACGATCAAACTTTTAACGCATCAACTTGCATCATTCAAAAGCACAAAAAACTTATACAGGAAAAAGTCATTGTAGAACACAAAAATTATTTTTATATCACTGGGAATAAGAAAATAGCTTTAGTGGCGAAACATGAGGGAGAAAGAAATGGAGAATTTCATTGCAATGATCAACGATATAAGTGCAAAGAAGAAACAACCATACATCCAAGCCAAGTGCCTTCAGCAATACACCGAATCGTCGCCTCACAACGATCAACTCTCCACGATCTCTTCCACACACAACACTCAACCACTTTCTCATGCAAACACTTTAAAAACTCAAAGGAAAAATCACCCTAGAAGTTCTCTCCCTAAAGGAAGAAAAGAACCCATATGGTTTGCACTAAAACCCTAATTCCTACTGTGGAGAGCCTTCAAAGTCTGCCCAACTCTACTTAGGTCTTGCCCAGACGTTTACCTTTATAGCTCTCACCAAAATCAGAATGAAATTTTTTTGTCAAAATAAGTTTGGTCGCACGGTGGCGTGACCACGCCTGGGATTGGCGTAACCACGATTTGTTTGGCGAGCCATGTCGAATGTTGACGTAACTACGCTAGAACAATAGCAAGGACGACATAATTACACCACATTTAGATGTGGTTATGCGGGCTAGCTCCATAGTACACGTCTTCTTTTTGCTCCATGAAGCACGTTCGACCCCTGTAACCTGCAAAATATCACAAAAACCTTTCACAAGCATAAAATCATAATAAATAGGGAATAAAACACCATAATTCAGGTGGTAAAACAACATAACTCTACCTCATGTCATTCACTACTTTAAAATTCAGTTACATATTTGTAATTTATTTTTTTGTATATTGCTATGTTGTAATGCCTGTTGAGTAACTTTATGAGAGTTGATTATTAATGATCTAAGCTTGTATTTGAATTTTTCGAAAATTTTTCTTTGGCGTGTTTATATTTCTCCAATCTTTATCATGGGAGATCAAGATCACACCATGACCATGGTTATCTGGATGCTTACCTGGATAAGTTAAACAAGGTTGCAATGGTCAGATGGAAGTTGATCGAGTAATTTAAGGTGCGTTTGGGGCGGCGCTATGGTGGCGGTGCGGTGCCATAGTTTTTTTTTTTGACAAAATTGTGTTTTGCCTTCTTTTTCAAAAAACTGTCGCATAAGCTGTGTTTTTCACTTGATCTAACTATGTACGGTGGCTGCTAGAAAGCTGTGATCTGAATTTGTAAAAATCTTTTGTTATAATAGTCATCACAGCTTTTTGAACAACAGCTTCTTATGCAGCAACTTCATATTTGTTTCTTCAAACAACTACAGCTACCCCGAACTGATCCTTACTCAAACTGGCCTTGTGTTTGGGTTATTTGTTGAGTCAACCTGCCTTGTTCAACTGTTTTGTCATTCAATTTGGCCTTAAATTTTTGTACTTAGATTTCTCATGTGATCTTATTCCATTACTTGTGTCGAGACACTGCATTTCTTTTATTTGTGTGCTATTTGCATTCTGATAAAGGATATCTGGATCATGATCACATATTATGAAAATCTAATGTGTTTTTGACTGATAATTTTACTGTCATCCTAACAATGAACTAGTAGTTCGATTGGAGTCATTGTATTTACTTTGGGGCCGTTTGGGATTACTTTGGTTTTGTTTTCATTCTTTATTTTTATTTTGTTTTGTTTATATTTTTACTTGAAATAAAATATATTTGGTATATTATAACATGCATAATTGTTTTTAAAAAAACTCAAAATACTTTTAGATGTTTTGAGCGCTTTTAAAAACAAGCTAATTTGCTTTTCAAAACAAATAATGAAAATAAAAAAAAATTACTAAACAAATGTGTTTTTAAAATAAAATAAAAAATACAAACAAAAAGCCAAAGTGACCACAAAAAAGCCCTTTTTGTTGTTCTGTAGGTGACTAAAGTTTTATTGGGTGATTATGACACTACATGCATTGATCTTACATCTGTTTTCTTCTGCGTGTATAATATTCGTTAATAACTAAGCTCTAAGCTGTGGTAATTTACGGGAGCATGCTTTTATGAACTTGGAAATTGATCTAAAATAGTTTAAGTAGACCGACTAGCTATTTTTTTCTTGTAATTCTATGCGTTTGCATATTGCTTGGACAGAACGTGAATTGGAGCAGCCAAGCAGCCCTTCTCTCCAAAAGATTGAAGAAAAGGGAGTTTCCATTGTGCATGAAGTTAAATGCAAGGTCTACATAAAGGTCAGCATTTTTCTGTCTCCATGAATGAATATTTTGTTATGGCGAACGCTTGGAATCTGGAATTCACACAGTTGTCTGCTAATTCTTCAAGAATAAAGATTTATTATGATACGCTGGAGCATATTTAAATCTATCTTGAAACCTGCTAAAAAGTTATTTGTTATAAGTTCATTAGCAACCTTTTGCAAGATATTTATGTAATTAATTTTAATGCAATTTATTGTGTTTGAACTTATAATTCATAAGTGTTGAAGATATGATTATGCCTCATTAATGTCCAAAGAAATTATAGGAAAAATTTTACCTAAAACGGAATAAACATATTTTGTCGAGTATGGAAACCTTTTGGGTAATCCGAATAGATAATTTTTTTTAGTGTATAGTGAAGTGGAGTACATTTCAATTCAAGGGAAAATGTAAAGGCTAGAGATTCATAATAATTGTACAATACTACCAGCGAGAGGACTTGCGACTCTGTTTGTCCTACTCATTGACATTATAAAATAACTGAATCTTGTTATGTTTCTTTGTAAAAAATTGCTCGTTAACATTTATGTTTCACAACTGTCTCGCAATGAAGATATAATTAACAATTCTCCGACCTTGTTATCGAACTTAATGCACACATAACACAATTGGTTTGTCACAGTGTTGAAATTATTGAAATGTTTAGTCATCAAAGTTTCTTCCACTATCTTCATTTTTAATAAATTTTTCATCTGAAAAATCTTATTTGAAATTGAAGGCTTTTCATAAGTCATTGTCAATGTAATCATGGGATTCATCGTAGTTTTTATAATAACAATGTCGAAAGCAACATACAAGGAAAGTGAAGGACAAATTAAACCTAATATTCTTCGATCAAGCTTTCCCATTTCTCCAGAGTTATAGATTCAGGCTTTTTGGTGATTCCTTCCCGTGGTAGATAAGATTATTTTTTATGCAACAAATCTTTAACTTGTATCTTCCGGAATGCAAATTTCAAACTGTTTAGTTTCTCGACCTTATACCCCTCTTCGTCTGTCATTGCTTCTGCTTGAATTAATATTAGTTGGAAGGCCCTACTTTGATATCACTTGTTTGAACACAGAAACTGGATTCAATCTATTCAAAACCAAATCACAGTGTGGAAAAATACATCGATTTGAGAGATCTGGAATAAAAATTTAACAGAAGCACACAACACAAGAAATCCAAAAATGTATAAAAGATTTAATGTGGAATAACCCTAAGAACGAGAAAAATTTCGGAGCCGTGCCACATAAAAAATTCTACTATTAAATTAGGAGAAATGTACAGATTACACCACACTCGGAGTTCCTCTCTATAAGCCTGGAACTCACCAATGTTCCTCTCTCGATCACATTAGAGCAAATTGGAGAAATCTAACACTGAACTTGTTGCACCACTAACTATGTCCCCTCTTGTTACATGCAATACCGAGAGATACCTTCTTTGTATAGAAATCGTGGAAACCGCTCCTGGAACTGGAGAGGCACTCCTGAATGCTGCCTTTTCACATGCTCTGTTTGGATTTGTTCTTCTGGGGGCTGAATCACCCATTTCGACTTTTGAGTTTTCAATGTCTCTATTTTCAAAGTTTAAAACGAACATATTGCGACGCAATTGTGCCTTTTCAGGACTCACGAGTTCCAATTGCTTTGTTCAGAGAAGGATATGGCGTATGGGCGACCTCCTTGGGTGTTGGATTCTACTATAGGATACTTCTCCAAGTTCAATCAGGCTCCACACACACAAAAATGTATTCCTCCTCTTCAATCATCTAACTTGAATTATATGAATAACATCCACATCTATATCACCATCGCTTTGAACAATAGACTAGATATATTTAAAATGTTCACTCTTTTATTGACTTGATCACCTATTGTTACAACCCCACTACTAGATTTACTACTAAAATTATATTCCATGTATTCAATTTTAGATCTACTAAAATGAAAGTCTTTAGACTTTATAGCTGACCTCCGTAATTCAAGTATTTCATAAACTCTTTCTCTAGTCTTATCCACAAGAAGAATATTATCATAAAAAATATACACCAAAGCACATACTTTTATAAATGTTCAGTGAGAACATTCATAACTAAAATAAAAAGATATGGGCTTAAAGTCGATCTCTAATTTAATCCAACTGAAATAGGAAAATGCTTTGTTAATCCATCTTCTGTTAAAACACAAGTAATAGTTCTAGTATACGTATCTTTAATGACTTGAACAAGTCATATCCACCCCTTTATTTTCTAGAACACTCCAAAGAACTTATCTTGGGACTTTATCAAATTTTTTTTTTAAATCAACAAAAATCATATATAAAATCTCCTTACCTCTGTGTACTTCTCCATCAAACCTCTCAATAAATGTATGATTTCCATAGTAGACTTGTCTGACATAAATCTAATTTAGTTTTAGGAAATCATTGTATCATGTCTTAACTTATGTTCTATTACTCTCCTATAATACTAGTATTTGACACATTAATTTAATTCCTATATAGTTTGCACATTCTCGTGCATCCCATTTATTCTTAAAAATATGCACTGAAATACTCTCTCTCTACTCTTCAGACATCTTTTTAGTTTTGAAATAATATTAAAAATTTTAGTAAGTCAAGAAATTCTTAAGTCTCTTAAACATTTTCCCACTTCTATTGGGATACCATCAAGTCCTATTAATTTTTCATTCTTCATTTTCTTTAAAATTCCTCAACTTTTGTTTTGCAAATGTGGTGGTAAAAATAAAATATTTTATTATTATTAACAATATTAAGATCACTAAAGTTGTTCATATTTTCAAAATATTCTTTGAAAAGTTTATCAAAATATCTCACCGAGCTATGTTACTATTTACTGAATATTCAAGGAAAATTAAATTATCATATTTTTTTATCCATTTTCCTAATTAGTTTTTTCCATTATTCAATATATAACAAGGACAACTAAACACATGAGAATATAAAATTTTGATTTCTTTCCTCTAAATAATTCATTTTAGATTTCTTCTCTAAATAACTCATATGAAGTTTTCCTTAAAACACATCTTAAATTTATTCTATTAATAGCATGCCGTGTTGATTGCTTCAGCCCAAAAATATTTTGATAAATTATATTCATCTAATGGATCTTGCCATCTTGACTAAATTTTATTGTGGAATTCTTGGTGCTGGAAAGATATGTTAAATTTCTTGTTAATCACAAAGTTCTTCGAATTTATAATTAGTAAATTTACCACCATGATCAGTTTGAATTCTATAAATTATATAACATTCATTTTTGTGAATATATCTTGCAAATTCTCCAAAAGCCTCTTAACTTATTTATTAGAACAATTACTCAAGTATATCTAAAATAATCATCGACAATAAAAAGGTCATAATTTTTAACTCAGGCTAGTGGTGCTAATAGGACCAAATAAATCCCATGTGAAGTAGTTCAAGTGATCTAATTGTAGTAATAATATTTTTATTTTGAAGAGATATTTTAGTTTGTTTTACATATTGACATGCATCATATAAATTATCTAAAGTAGAATCCATCTTTAGTTATCAATTACAACATTCATTTTTCTAATCTTATTTAGCGTGTGCATATTGGTATGACCAAAAGCCTCTTAACTTATATTAGAACAATTACTCAAGTATATCTAAAATAATCATCGACAATAAAAAGGTCATAATTTTTAACTCAGGCTAGTGGTGCTAATAGGACCAAATAAATCCCATGTGAAGTAGTTCAAGTGATCTAATTGTAGTAATAATATTTTTATTTTGAAGAGATATTTTAGTTTGTTTTACATATTGACATGCATCATATAAATTATCTAGAGTAGAATCCATCTTTAGTTATCAATTAAAACATTCATTTTTCTAATCTTATTTAGCGTGTGCATATTGGTATGACATAGTCTCCTATGTCACAACTAAGCAGTTTCAAAGCTAGTCTTAAAACATAAATGTTTTAAATTTTCTAAATTATCAGCATCTAACATGTAAACATTATTATGCATATTTCCAACAAGTCAACTGAACCATTTAATTTAATGAAGCAATGTGATGAATACAAAATAATTTATAACATTTATCACATAATTGACTTATACTGAAAATGTTATATTTTAGACCATCAACTAATAAATTTATTTTTATTGTAAATAAGTTTTTATCTATGGAGCAAATTCTAATAACTTTCTTTTTGTTGTTCTCTCTAAGTGTAACATGTCTTCCATCGTATAATTCTAATGATGCAAATCAACGCGATCACTTGTCATATGTCTGGAGCAGCTGTTATCTAGATACCATATACCATCACTGGTTCAATTTTGGAGACATGTTTTTACGAATCAAATCAATTAGTTAGTTTAGGGACTTAGGTATGCTTGGGTCCATTATTAATAAAAAACCTAAAAAAAATGTTGATTTTGCGTAGATGTTTGTACATATTTGGTGCTTTTAACTGCCCATATATGACGAATTTGAATAAGAATGTGCATGTTTTGAATAACAATCTAAAGATTTGTGTTCATGCTTATTATTGTGGTTGCACCACACTTTTGTATTTGCATATGGTCCTTTTGTTTTGTCATAATATTGTGGACGATTCATATGAGTTTATGTATGATTATTCATATTTAATTTACTAAATGATGCATTGATGTGAGAGTGAGATTTGGACATTAAATTTAATTTTAACACAAGTATATTATTTTTAACTTCTAATTTCATAATTAATGCAGAATGATAACATGAAATATTTTGAGATAACACTACTTTTCTTGAATGATTCATGTTCAACTTTTAATTTATTATATTGAGTGTGTGTGTGTGTAATCTTTTTCTAATTTAAGGTGCTTCTTTCTTAATTTTTTGTACTATTACGCAACACATTAAATGCCTCATCTAACTCTTCATAAGATAAATTATTATCACTTACATAGTTTTGGACATCCGTGGAGTTGTTTTCGTAATTCGTCATAAGAAAAATA